CCAGGGATCACTTTGTGCAGAAGTTGGCATTAAAGCGTTGACAGGGTGGTAAATTTGGAAGGTGCTGAAAAGAATTGAACCGCAACGAGGAGGAATAGACAAGGAGAATGGAACTGGGAGAGACAACATGGGAGCCATTAGCACTCTGCCTAACTGAGTAGGACAGATTATATTGGAGAACAATGTAAAATTCATGGAATGTTCAGGAAACTTAAGAAAAAGTATATCCAGTCGACATACTGTACAATTTTCAGCTGCTTCTCTCATGGGTCTCTTAAAGCTCAAATTATATAAACTAATATTATAGATTGTAAAATTGGAAAATTTGGAGCCCTAAAGGGAATAGCTACCAGACATCAAAGTGATTTATGAAATAGATCACCTTGTAGAAATTCCCCAGTAGGAGCATGAGCACTTTTAGATAACTTTTACATTCATACTCCAACAGGGGTAGGATATTTGGAGATTAAAAGCAGATTTGTGGGGCATGAACTGAGGGTCCACTGGGAATATCACAAGGAGGTAGGTTGTGGGTTTTTTTCTTTTTTCCCCTCTTATTGCTAGAAAGAGGTACTTCAAGGAGACTTGGTGAGAGTGTAATATGTGTCTTCTGAAGTTTTGGGGTGGTCATCAAAATAGTAATGAATCTAAAGACCAAGAAATGAGCTAGTGGGCAGTTTATAGTCGAGCAAAGTAGCAGTGCTGTATTGGGATTCACCTATTTTCCCAGGGTTAGTTAGAGAGTTCCCTGGGGAACAGATGTGGACCATGCATGTGAGAGCACTGTCACGAGGCTCTCTAGGTCCTGTCCCATTAGGCTGCCCAGGGACTGAACTGGTCTCAACAGATAGAAGCCAAAGCTGTCGCTCAGAGCTGTGGCTATAGTAAGTGATAAAGTGAGACAGTATGACTCATATCAAGTCCCCAATGATTGGAGAAGGGGAAGCAAACACCGGTTGAGAATCAGCTTAAATACATACCAGTTCTCTTACCCCAGTGACCATTTACCTCCTCTTATCCTACCTTTCCTCTTTCACTCTACTTCCATATTCCAGAGGTATTGGAACCAAGATTATTAAATGGTTAGAGAAGAAAGACCTGGGGTAAAAATATAGGATGCTCGTCATTGGCTGTTGGTTTCCACTTGCAGCAGATCCCAGCTGGGTATTTTAATTTACAAATTGAGAATATGTTTGGTGACTTAATGTTAAAGCTCCAATTGATCAGGGTATATAGATAAGACCCTAGTTCATATTGGCTCAAAAGCTGTTGCATTAATATCTTGGAACTACTGTAACAAATGACCACAAACTGGGTGTCTTAGAACAAGAGGCATTTGTTTTCTCACAGTTCTGGAGGCTGCAAGTCCAAAAAAAAATGTCAACATGTTCTTTCTGAAAGCTCTAGATCCTAGAATTTATTCTAGGAGATCCTCTGTTCCATTAATTTTCTCTTAGCTTCTGGGGTTGCTGCAATTCCTGGCACTCCTTGGCTTGCAGATGCATCCCTCTGATCTCTGCCCTCCTAATCACATGGTGAGCTCCCTCTGTCTCTTTGTCTTCACATGACACTCTCCTGTGTGTGTGTGTTTATATTTGTCTCATAAGGACATCAGTCATATTGGATTAAGAGTTTACCCTCCCCCATATAATGTCATCTTAGCTTACATTTTAATGACCTCTAGAAAGACTGTTTACAAATGAGATCCCATTCACAGGCACTAGGGTGGTACTTGAACATATCTGTTGAGGGAAACAGTTCAACCCACAGAGGTGTAATTCTACTTGGTGTCTGTACCCTGGAGTTAGGGGCCGTTGTTGGTGTGACTCAAAGTCCCTTCCTAGTTTATTTCTAATTATGTGTGCCGCACTCTTTCACAATACACAGTATGAGTTTTGAGTCTGAAGCAGTGTTTCTTAATTATCCCTATCAGGGATGCAACTACTGGAGACACCTCTTTATATCTTGTCCATTTTCTTCCCAGTGGTGCTACCAGTGTTTCTCTTCTTTAATGCCTTCAGAAACTTTCCTTTTAAATTTTAGTAGCAATCTGATTTAAACTTAATTTTATTTAAAGCCAGTTTGTTTAGTGAACAAATATCTAGGTTAGGGAATTCATAGGCACCATAAATAAAGAAGTGTATGGATTTTTTATTTTTTAAGTTTTGATTATGAATATGAGCTTAGCCACCAGGCCCCAGGCGATTCTCAGCCCCAAATGCACATTAGAATCACCCAGGAAGCTTTAAAAAATACTGATATCCAACACCACCCTAGGAAATTAATTGGAATCTCTGGGCATGTGACACGGTGCATAGAAATCAACCAAACCCTGGATCTGAAGGTAACAGTTGTCTGATAGGAACGTGTACCACTTTTCCCATCCATATAATGGGAGAATCAGTATACCAATATGGTAGGACTGTTGCAAAGATTAAACAAGCTAGCTCATGTGAAATGCTCATTAGCACGTGCTGGCTCCGCAATAGACCATGTAGGTGGCGATTGCTGACACTGAACTGTGAACAACAGTCTGACCTCATCGTGTAGGTGGGACACTCTCTCACGCTGGGCAGGGTAAATCAGAAGCCCATGCTTCAGCCCCAGTGTCCTCATGAGCACATCCAGAGAAGGCTTGAGGCACTCCATGCATCTGCAAGAGTGCAGGGATGCACATCGTTAGGAAGACTTGAAAGATTTCCTTGATACTCGGTTAGACAGGAGGACACCAATAACCGGTCTAAATGCCAAGACCCTGAGCACTCTTCAATCCTGATTTTGTGACTGCTCTCCTCGTCTGATGCTGCTGGCTGCTGCTCCCATGGGAACTCTCCTGACTTGGTTCCATGAAACAACGCTTTCCTGACCTCAGTCTGGAGGCTAGAAATCCAAGATCAGGGTGTGAATGCCGTCTGGGTTCTGGTGAGAACCCACTGCTGGGCTGCAGAATGCCCACTCTCCTTATATACTCACGTGGCAGAAACTGGCACTTTTATTAAAGGTTGAGGAGAAACACAGTGGGCACTGCAGGTCAGCCCCGTGATAAGCTGCTCGTCATGTTTTTGTACACTTCCAGTTCCTGTCTAATGCGTACACTTCCAGTTTCTCTAATGTATTGTCCAAGCTCCTTGGAAAGACATATCCCTACTTACCTACCTGTCAGATTTAGTCTTTCAGAGTACCCTCTTGTGAACAGGACCGATTGTCAGCCAGTGAGTACAAGTTCAGCTGTCCTGATTAATCTTTTAAGATTATTTTTTAAACACCTCTTTCCTGATTGCGGAATATTCTTTCAATACTTCCTGTTGCTTCAACACATTATATATTGTTTCATGATGGTATTTTCAGCAATTCCTTGAAATAATTCTCTATAGATGTTTCCTCCACTAAACTATTTCTCTTGAGTCATTTTTATTTGTTTTCTCTAAAGTCTGTTAGAAACCCTAGTTTGCAGTGTGTGTGTGTGTGTGTGGGGGGGGGGGGGTGTCACTAGGTGTTTTCAGAATTGGATTGAGTGTACCCAAGAGTAGGAAATGGTCATTTGCTTTAAGTGAATCCTGAAGTTTAGCACAATTTCTTGGAGGGCTTCTTTGAACTAAAATCCTCAGCAAAATGAAGGGGAGCCACTGCAGTGAAGTGGTTGGCAGCTTTCTCATCTTCCTGAAATGCTACTCAGTCTGTTCGCCTCACTTGCCCAAAGACCTGCATTTCCTTTGCTATCAGAGTCAGATTAAGCAGTAGGCAAATTAGGTACTGTCCAGTGTGAAATTTATTGGGGTGACATTGGTTAATAAAATTATTTAGGTTTCGAGTGAGGGAGCTAGTAAAGGGAAAAGGAGTCAAATTTATGGTAATGGAAGAAGATTTGACTTTGGGTCAACATATAATGCAAGATACAGATGATGCATATTTTTAAAAGGAGAATGATGATAAAAAGGAGTCATAATGATGTTGATAATTATATTAGCTAACATTCATTAGTTCTATGTCCTTTATATATATTTATCTCATTTATTTATCCTATCAGCTCTATGGAGTAGAAATAATTGTTATTCCAGTATTACAGATGAAAAATGAAGGCTTACAGAGTTTAATTTACTTGCACAAGTTCCACAGCTAGTAAGATATGGTGATTGCATTTATATGACTATTCTTATAATGACTGTTATAGCCAATTAATCAGTGTTGCTTTTAACTGTTAACATTTCTTCAAATAACTTTCTTAAGGGGTGAATTTAAATGTCTCACCTATCTACATGACAGTCCTTTCTGGAAAGCTATTGCTCAGTCTTGAATTTCTTATCCTCCAATCTGCACATTCAGATAATGATGCAATAAAATCTTTTATGGGATACTCCTCAGATTGCTATATGCTAAGGGAGGGAATAAGATATATTTTCATAACTTTTGACTTCTATAAAGTACTTTCCTCCTCACTGCAGCATGGAAAAGCTCTAAAATTGTATCTCATGAGGAGGGTAATCTGCAATTATTTACAGAAGATTCTCACAATATCTCATTTTATCACTTTTGTGGAAAAACAGAATAGAAAGCCAAACTTTCATGAATATTTAAAAACCCATACACACTGGGGGAGGGAGGAAGGTAAGTTTAGATAATTGCAAATTCCATTTCAGTCAGTTGTACTCCAAGTAAATGTTCTGTCTCAACGTGGCTTACATCTGATCTTTTCACATGATGGAAGCTAATGTTTCTTCTTGCTCAAGTGAGAATCTTGTTCCCATGCGAGAAGACAGAGACAAGCAAAGAAGACTGGGCTGAGTATCTGCCACAGATACCCCTGTTCTGGGCTGCAGGGGCGAGGGGACTGTTGGGGAAGTTATTTGGCATTTAAACAAGTGATTCCCATGGCAGCTGCTGAATATTTTGTTAAATGATTTTCTTCTCTGACCTTTATTACTAATGAATCTTCCTTAAGAAGCACTTAAAGAGTAAAAAGAAAGGTTGTTTTTATTAATCTCTTTTCTCTTTGCCCACAGAACCCAAAGAAATGGTGTTACCTGGCAAGAGATCTGCACTCTCTTATGAAAAATCAGACCAAGGTAATACTTATTGTGAATTGATATATTTTTTAGTCTGTTTAACTCTGATACATTAAACTCATTGGTTTCCTTGATTACTGGTTTTAGCTATTGAATATGTAATAGTAAATCATTACCTGAAAAGTAGAGGGAATGGTTTATAAGGAATACCATATTATGAAATAACAGTAAAATTTTAAACATATTTTAGGGTATCAAAACATTGTGGATAATGGTCAATTTTCTGACCCTACATTTATCATAATATAGGAATAGGATCTTGACTAGGAGAATGTGTTCTCTTTGTTTGGCAAGAACTCCAATTAGTTTGTTCACATTTACAATAAGAGAATTAGATTCTTGTCAGAGAACATTGATAAGAGTTTCCTTTTATTCAAGCATTAGTCAGATGGTTTTGCATATTACTGTTTGAATATGCAAAAAAATTTCAGCTCAGATTCCTCTCAAACTCTTGAGTTTTATGAAGACACCATCATACAAATCATATTTTCTTTGGAAAGACTGAATTATATCATACAGTTGTTGAATAGCATGCCTGATTATGCTTAACAGTTGCATATATAGTTGCTAAATTTTGAAATTGCTATGTGATTTATTTACATATGTTGGCTTAAAAATATGAACACTTATACAAATATCCTAATGATATATATGGGTGAATAAAATGTAAGCTACAGATATACATGTGCATATTTTATGAATAAAGGTACTATCTAAAAGCATTTTTTTTTTCAGTAAGGTTTCTAAAAAGTTAGAACTGTGATGGCCATTATACCCATATATTCAATGAATGTTATCTATTTATAGAGCTATGAAGGTAGGATGTTACCGTATGTATATGCATAAGAGATTTATTGAAATGTATATTAGACTATTGGGGTCTAATTGAAACTGATTGGGTTTTACTTTTGACAAATTGTCAAATTCCTGAAAACAAATGAGTGTTGAAACAAAGGTAGCATTTAAATTTAATGGACATCAGCAGAAAACTGGTTTCTGACCTTGAATTTGCAGTTGAGCAAAAATAAATTGTTAGGTTGAATTACAAATTGGGTGTTTATACTTATTTCTGATTTCAGTTGATACTTCAAAGGAGATGTAAATCCCTTAAGGAAGCAGCTTCTCTCTCCTAAAGGCGGTTTGGAATTGTAGGCACTCTATTCAAGTTTTAGATATACTAAAATTTTAATGGAATCTATAAAATATTCTTAAATAGTTAGTGACATCAATGGAGAGCTGCATTTTGCATAGCACTATTAACTGTGACTCCCCACAGAGAGACATTGCAATGAGCACTGATACCTAGACTGTATGTGGAAGATGTTGACACTGAGCTATGTGATGTAGACATAGGAGATAAGTAGTAGAAAAGTGCTTGTTGAGGGGGAATTGATGGGCGATGACACAGTAAGAGAAAGAAAGACATGGAATGAGTTGAAGCCAGTGGGGAGGGTCAAGGATCCATGCCCATTAGGATAAAAGGAGCACAGACTATCCAGGATTCATTCCTGTGAAATTATTTTTTCAGAGGTATGTACATGTTCATGTATATGTTCATGTTCATGTGCATACAAATGTACATATGCACCTGTTGTTTTATTAGTCTTTTGTTTGTTTAAGACATGAAAACACTTTGAATTGAATGTAGGAAAGGGAAAGTTGGGTGGGAAGGGGAAATTTCCATTAAATGAGTAGGATTTCTAGCATTGTGTACCCAGAATATAAAATGTGTTTCCTCCCATCATGAGAATAAAGGAACAGTTCTGTATTTAGCCAGAATCCAAGTGATTTTGGTCTGATAAAACTCCCGAAGGACAATGTTCTAGGACATGTGTGTTTGTGCAAATGCTGGGAGTAGAGTGTGAAGGAGTGACCTGGGATGGGAGAAATGGTGTTTATGTTGTCATCTCTCTAAACTGGTCATTTGGATTCCATGAAATAGGGGTGTTTGCAATCTTATAAACAGTTTCTGTTAGACAATGAATGCTAATGAGCTGATGCCGTGTCTCTAATATCTTAGATGGAATATTTATGTTTCATTCTATATAATAAAAGCCTAAGCAATCGTTATGGCGGAACGACCAGAACGACTGGTCGCTATGATGTGCACTTACCACCAGGGGGCAGACGCTCAATGCAGGAGCTGCCCCCTGGTGGTCAGTGCGCTCCCACAGGGGGAGCACCACTCAGCCAGAAGCCGGGCTCACGGCTGGTGAGCGCAGCAGTGGTGGCTTCTCCTGCCTCTGTGGCAGTGCTAAGGAGCAGTGAGCCGAGTGGTAAGGAGTAGCAAGCAGGTAGGCGGTAAGGAGTGATGGGTCCCAGGCTTGGCTGAGGGACCCCCGCCTCCCCCATACCAGTACAAGAATTTCATGCACCAGGCCTCTAGTGTTTAAATAAAAGACTATTCAGATGCATTAGTGATGGTGCTATTTTTAGATGAATGGGACTGGTCAGTTTTCTCAGTTGCACATGAGGACTAACCCACTCCTATTGTGTAGGATTAACTCTGGCAATAGAGCTCAGAGAGCAACCTATTGGATTAGCAAGCACTTTTGGGTATAAGGATACCTGAAAGTTCTACATTCAACCATTTTAAAAGGGGCATATAAATAGCTCTTCATGTTATATATTATTATGTGAAGTTATTTATGTAATCTAGTGACAATATTCTTAATTTTGTCATCCAGAGAGAGGCACTTTAACTAGTCAGGACTGAATATCCTTCTATATATCTGGTGAGATTATGTAAAAAAAAAAAAAAGACACTATTATTCTGTTTCATTTTTATATAGGTTTATATGTCCTGAAAATAAATTGAATTTCAATTAAGAAAATGTCATGCCTGAAATTTATTTTTATTATGCAGGAATGTTAAATTTTATTCTTAAATATATCTGAATTTTTCTGTAGGAAAATATAATTGTAATATCAATCCTCAATTTATATTAAGGATGCAGTAATTTTTTAATGTACTTTAGGTTGAAATCTAAGTTTAATATAAACACAATTTTGAGAATTGGAAACCAACTGTCATAAGGCTAGTGTGTAGGGTTTTTTATGTTCAAGAGCACTAAAACTAAGTTATAAAGATACAAGAGATTTGTTTAGAGATTTGTTTCATCGTGTTTATTATTACTGGCTGTAGAAAATGTTGTGGTAATAATGCTTGCTGAGATTTAGTTGAGACTTAAAAGGATCAAAATCTTCTGATATTTTAAGAGCTTACCACAAATTATATTGTATATTATTTATTACATACATACTGCAACATAATAATGAAAGTAAAGCCTCAAAACTTGCAGGTTGATTAATAAGTTAATGACCATGAATTTAAATGAGCATTAGAAGCATTTCTATGGCACGCGATAAAAATAGTGATGTAATTGTCACATTGTCTGAATTAGATTACATGTACGACATATACAGTACTTTGCAGAAATATGGCTACAACATCAGGCCAAACATGCTCCCAAAGAGAATTTAAACTGAAAATCAGGAAATAAAACATTGGAACATTTTCATGGAGATGTGATTAAAAAGTAATTTTTAAAGAGGAATTTACATGAGAGTTATTATGATAATTTTTATGAATTTGCCTTTTTGGTTCTCATGATTTCTGTTATTTGCAAAAGTACTCATCAGCCTTTACTCTTCTGAGTATTAGATTCTGTGGGATACTTCATTTTCTTAAAACTTAAAAAACACTCCCAAGACTATAAGTTATAGCATTGTCTATGATCAACTCCTGCTAATATTTAAGTTTTTCCACCGATTCTCAACCTGTGTTACTTACCCTATTTTTTTAATCTCCTATTCCATAACAGACCCTAAATATTTTTGTCTTTTTCTTATGCTGAAAACTCCACTCTGAATACCCGATCTTATTTCCCCTATATTCCAAAGTCTACATATAACCAGAAAACTTCTCTTTACAGAATCTTTTGAATCCCTCATTATACAACATCAATTTCTCTCTCTTAATCTATATTCACTCGGTATGGTTGCCTAGTATCTGTCACGCTGATTTGCATATAATGCTATGTAATGGTTCTCATGTGTGCATGTATGTGTGTGTGTGTATATGTATATATATACACACAGTTTTTTTATTATATGTAAAAGTACACATGCAGATATGAGATTTTTGTCCCCTTCAACATGATTAAAGTAGATCCATCTGTCACCACTGTTACCCCCACTTGTAAGTGAAGTAGATAAATTGAAATGAATGAGCTCCTTCCATCTCGAGGATTTCCATTGAAGGAATATTTAAAAGGCTAAAACATTCCTTACTATGAGAGTTATAATTTAGCTATGCTTTGTAATTAGGAATACCTTGAAAATCTACTTTCCCTTTATTCTCTTTCAATGAGAATAAAATCAATATTCAAATATACTAATATATAAAGCAAATAATTTTCAACTATTGAAACACACTCTCTTTACCAAAGAGAGATTGCCTAATTGTATTCCCCGTTGGCTTTGTGCCACTTTGCACATGTCACTGGAGAAACATCTAACTTGAGCTACACAACAAAGATACTTTTGCCGAAAGCCAACACTGCCTTTTGAGGATATTGCTTATCTAACATCAGGATCAGTAGAAAAAGTGTATTGTAATTTGCTACCTTATCCATTTATTCATTCATCTATCAGTTCATTGTTTACCTACTACCTTCACAAGTGTTCTAGCTAGAGTGGAAGTACATGCAAAATTTGAGAGTCTCTTATTCTGTGCGCGCATGCACAGAATACACACACACACACACGTACACCATACATAAAGGCATACAGAGGGTACAAAATACATCCTTTTAGTCCTGGCTGGCATGGCTTATTAGTTGGTTGGAGCGTTGCCCCATACACCAAAAAGTTGGAGCTTTGATTCCCGGTCAGGGCACATACCTAGGTTGCAGGTTTGATCCTTGGTCAACTGGTCAATGTTTTTCTCTCTTTTCCTTCCTCTCTCTCTCAAATCAATAAAAACATATCATTGGATA